TTTTATCATAGTTTATAGTTATATGGAAACGAAAGTGGTTAACATTCAACCCGTTCTTTATCATCAGTAGTATTATTCGTGATTTGTATTTTGTGAATGGGAGTTCCTCTTTAGCTGTGTTATAAGCAGGGCTTCGGATGCTTTCACTCGAATTCACGATCTCGTTGTCACTGTTTTGCTTGCATACATCTATGCTAAACATGTTTAAATTGTTTAATTCACAAAAGATTTTTATTTTCAAGATATTGTTTTTGCTGCTAAATTATACAGTCAGCTAGTTTAATTTCATAGCTTATATATTTTTATTCAGATGTAGTTTTGTCTGTAATGAGGAAGTGAGTATTTAGTGGACTGCGTTTAACAAAGTGTTTAAAAGAGTGACCATTAGTTCCACAAACACAGTACTGATATTCTGTAGTGGTGTAGGAAATAATAGCGCTGGTGTTGGATCGGTATTGGCTGATTCTTAGAATTTGGAATACTCTGATATCTTACACTGCAAAATAATAACTCAAAAAGATTAAAAGATAACATAATTATTTACTGAACCCTTAAATTCATCAATTATATAACGAAAGCCGTAAAAACAGACAATTAATCGTGATAATCGACAAAGCCCTAAAACAGACGATTAATCGTGATAATCGCCAAAGCCCTAAAACAGGCAATTAATCGTGATAATCGTGACTATTTTTAGACAATTAATCGTCAGCCAAATTTCATAATCATGACAGCCCTACTATTGCTACAAATATACCCCAGCGACTTAAGACTGCTTTTGTGCTGCAGTCACATGTGTATATTTATGTATATATAAATACACACTCACGCATGTATAATTTCAGAGAAATATGCTGTTTATATTAAACATTTATAATATAAATTATATGAATATACATGTACATGTTAATATTTTCAAAATATATACTGTATGTGTGTGCATTTATACATGCATAATAAATATACACAGTACACTTATTTTGGATGCGATTAATCGTTTGGCAGCGCTATAGATATAGATAGATAAGTTATAATGTCTTGTTTTCTGAAAATATCCAAATTTTGTTAGTTTTTGCTTGGAACAAGGAAAAGTGGAGTAAGAAAAATAATCTTAATTCAAAGGCTAAACAAGATTATTTTTCTTACCCCATTGGCAGATACTTTTGTCTTGATTCTGGAAAAAATTTAAGTAATTTTACACAAGTAAATGCATCCTGATTCAAGAATTTGTTGATATTTATACTAGAAAACAAGACAAAAACCCTCAGGAAGAACATATTTGTTGCAGTGTATAGTGAGTATCAGGACAACGAGATTAATCGTGTGTTTGATTGAGATGTGCGGCTCCTCCAGTTCTGATCTTCTCAAGGTCCTCTATTTTTACACTTTTACTAAAGTATATTTGTAATTATTAGTTGACTCTCTTCGGTTTGTGAAGCGATAACATTGAAGCATCTGAGCGTCATGCTGTAGCATGTGTTACTGAGCACAACCACTGGAGGAGATACCCACAATCCCCTGCACATTGATGTGTTTACTCAGTGTGGTGCATTATGGGGATTTTGCATTAACAGATGTTTGAATGATTTTTTCATGTTTTGACGTCATGTCTTTCAACAAAAAAACTTTTCTAATTTTTTACTTGTTAAAAAAAAACAAAACCTCAACACCACGTAATCTGTGACGTCCGAAGCTGCGTTTTACTGCCAGTATGCTGACACAAATGAATGACTTTGAAAATGACCGTTATTTATATACAATAAAATAAAACCGAATCCGTTGCAGAACCAGTGGAACACAGCCGTTTGGAGGGTGCTATTCATTTTTATGACCACTAGATGGCCACAATGGTAAACCGTGTTGAAAAGCTTCGAGTAATGAACCTTTTTCCGATACAATTGTGTTGAAAGCTTCGCTGGTTCAGAACGCTTCACCATCACGACAACTTTTATCTCATCAGAAATCCCTTTTCCCTGTTTTTTCGAAGACATTTAATAAAATATTTGCCCTTTTTTTTTTTTTTTATAAAAAATTAGAGCGATTATAAGAGGTTTTTGGTGAGAGAAAAAAGTTTTTGTTGAGGGAAAAAATATTGATTGTATGCAGTTGCTAACGAAGACATTGAATTACATCTTCGACACAATACTGTCAGCAATGATCCCTCTGAGCTGTGGCAATTTGGGAAGCTATTTGACTGAATTGTAGTAAAAGCGGAAGCATTGCAGTGTTCGGGCAAACCGCTGTAGAGTTAGAAGCGCTGAATGCGGTTTACAGGTTTCACACAGAGAGAGAGTGATGTGTGCCGAATGAGTCGCTGTAGACAATCTAAATTACTGCAGCTGTTACTAAAATGAAAATTAAATCATAAAACTAAAAATAAATGTAAAGATAAAAACATAAAATTAAAATGACTAAATATTAATAAAAACTGTAATAGTATCTCAGTGATACTAAAATAATATTCAAACAAAACGTTTTACCTGATACACGTCTGTTGCATTTACTGGGTGGAGGAGCTGGAGATGGAGGGGTGGATGATGTGTGTTAATTAAACATAATGAGCAAAACAATCAAAACTAAACCGGCCTTGACCGTGTGCTGAGCTGCTGTCGTGAGGCTGAAGGCAGATGACATGCTAATGTACAGACAGAGCTTTGCTAGCTGTGAAAGGACTTGATTTACATTACAAACATTCTGTTTCCCTGAAGGCAGAAATCGCTTCACAGTCTGTTATAGTCAGTGTTGGGGAAAGTTACTTTTAAAAGTAATGCATTACAATATTGCGTTACTCCATAAAAAAGTAACGAATTACGTTACTTAGTTACTTGTTATGGAAAGTAATGTTACGTTACTTTTGCGATACTTTTTAAATCTAGACAGGGCTTGCTTGTTTGTTTTTAAAATAAAAAAGTTATATTTTTGTCAAATATAAAAGCCTTTTCACACCAAAAGTGAAATGAATAAGCCTCAGGCTGAAGGGAAAGTACATTAGAATGCAGAAGAAGAAATTTCAACACTTCAGCAATAAAAAAAACACAAATGTTTGTCTAGAGTAATTTTGGTTTATTAGTACGGTTGAACTGCATCATCATGGATCATCGAAGGTCAGAAGCAAAGACATTGGTTAATAGAATGGGATTAAATACATAAAGCATATTTGTGTTGTTTAACATTAAATTATTGTAGGTTTGTGTCATATTCTGAGTTGCATTATTTTTATTCATTTTGAGGAATACTGAATCTGTTTTGTTTTTTTTGTGAGTGAGATGAATTAATGCATATTCATATTTATTTTAGAACTACAGTAACATCTGATTTCTCAACATGGGGACAGTAGAGCTGTCAATCAATAAATTGAAAAAAAAAAAGTAACTTGAGTAACTTATTTGAAAAAGTAACTCAGATATTCTCTTGTAAATGAAAAAGTAATGCGTTACTTTAC